AAATTCTTTGTAAACAATATTATGCTCATTTGTTATATGGTAATTACCGTAATTAGTGCCAGAAATGGTTATACTGTTTCTCCAATAATTGAAAATACCAGCAATTTCTCTCATACCAGGACGATTTTCAGGAAATGCATCCCAACACATCCTAATCAATTCAGCATAAAAAGATGGAACATGATTAGGAATACAAGGACGATTTCCTTCTACAATTTTCTTAGCCAATTTGTTATTATGAGGGAGATCATTGTAAGGTAAAGAACAAGTAGCAACTTCCCACATAATGAAGGCAAAAGAATAAACATCAGATTTTGAGGAGAAATCCGAACCAGCAATAACCATGGGATCAATATAAGGAAGAACACCATGAACAACGTACTCGTCAGATGAATTTTTATAAGGTAATTGAGGCATTAAACCAACATCAGAGATAATCGGATCTTCAATATCCTTGCCAATCAAGATATTATTTGGATGTAAATTCTTATGAACTATTCCTAATTTATGTAAATTTGCCAACTCATTTGCAAGGGTATGTAGCATACTAAGTCTGCGTGACCAAGTAAAAGATTTAAAATTATCAGGATGTTTCAAATATTCTCTAAAATTGCGATTTGGCAAAAATGGCATCACAATCATATATCTAAGGTTGTCAGGATGAAAAGTCACACCATAATAAGGAAGAGCATGACCTGATTCGTATATACATGATTTACACTTGGAAAACTATAATAATAAAAAGATAAATTATATGTATGTCAATATAAATTAATGTGGTTGTCGCTCAATTCCCTGAAAGTTACTTTCCGCCAACTCATTTCTTCGAGCATATTTTTTCGATAAGATATATATTCGACATTACATGTTTTCAACAATCTTTTTCTTAAGACCAATCATTTCCTTGACATAAAATTGGCCCGATTTAACCTGATTTAGAGCTAGTGTTGGTTAATTATATGTCAGGGAATGTCTTGTCTAAGAAAAGGATCGTAAATACACGTGATATCAACTAGGAACTGGAAACCAGTGAAAGTCCGGAGCTCAAAGTTTCAATATTCATTGGACTTAGCCCCTGAAATTCTTTCAAGTTATTGATGATCGGAATTTCCAGGGGCGTTACACCCGGAAAATGCCAAAACTACGTTTCTGATCCTTTTATTATTAGTTCATCAAAAATGTAATTTCGGTCATCAAAACGCATATAAGTATAAGCCCGTCGCTTCGCTCCGGACAATAAATATTTCTTATCGAAAAAAATGTACTGTAAATGAAATATTATGTCGACATTACGGGAAATAACTTTCGGGCATCGTACTGTAATCGATTAACATATTCAAAAGATATATTAATAATATAGTACATACATCAGAGAAGTAAATTTCATCACGAAAACTAGTTA